TTCCTTGGGAAGGTATAAAAGTTGCTTCTACTGTTGTGCTTATGTATGTGGATGGTAGAGTAGAACAATAAACAAGTACATGCATATTATCACAAAAACTATTGTATGTCTTTTTGTCTTTATATTCTTTAAGAACATAAATCTGGTCTGTGAAAAATATAAACTTAACATTTGACAAAAAACACACACAAAAAAAAAGGTAGAGTTTTAAAGTTTGGCATGCATTTTGATGTTTGAAATGTTTGTATCCAGCTAACTGATTCACTGGAGCATATTTACAAGGAGGTTTGGACTTGCATGTTGTGTAATGGAAAGAATTGGTCAGTTCTTGTTAGGTCAGTTTGGTTAAACTGTTCAAAAAACACTGTAGTTGGAGAACTCTTAAGCATTTCCCTGGTGTATCCACAGAGTCATAGGGACTGTACTACCGGGGTTGGTTCTGACAGTATGATTCTTCAGTTTTCTAAAAGCACAATTTAATCTCATCTGCTCAAACAGAACCAAGCCAAAGGCACAGTCAGGGGACTAATGTTTATGACTCAATTTCTCAAGGTGAATTTTCCTTGGAGGCCCTAAAACAATAGTCTAAAATATAAAAAAAGAAACCTTATTCTGCTTGTGCTCGTTGTAATAATAGTGTACTAAGTTAGTGAGTCATTTCACATCTGTAAGGGAATAACAGATGCTTTCATGTAACGTTAAGTAAAAATTACGTCTTGAAAGTTAATTTCTAATAGTGCCAATAATAGACATTATTTTACTATATGTAAGGCAGATTTCTCAGGGAAATTGATCTCATTCATGCTTGCTGTCTGCCAGCCTACTTAATATTTCTCCCATCCTTCTCAGGAATTTTAACCCTTTCAGTCACATTTGTTATGATGAGAGAGAGAAATGACAAACGTAGAGGAGGTCTGTGAAAATCTGCATTTGCTGAGAAGAGAGAAATCTAGACGAAGCCTCATAGCTGGGGGAGAGGCTGGAATGTGAATTGAACTGTTACCAGGATAGATGGGCTTGGAAATGAGTATATGTACATTAGCCAATTCTAATAAACATCTTGAGAGATCACAATCTCACACAGCACAGGCTGCCTGTTCCCCAGCCATTAATTAAGGGATATGGCAAAGTACTGTAGAAGGGTCTAGAGAATGCAGGTAATTCTGGAAGCTGTGGCAGTGGTGGGGAGTGTAACGGATTGAGGACACAACTTGGAAATTTAGGCTTCATCCTTTTGTGAGCTGCAGGATTAATTTGCTAAGAGGAGGAGAAGGAAAATTTTGCCAATTTTGCCAAGAATGTGGTTCTGGTCCTAGAAAAGCCTTTTAAACAGTGAAATATAAAGACAACTGCTTCTCACTGCTCTGCCAGTTCAGGTGCTACCTCTTGTTTAATGTGTGTTTTGTGCCTCAGTGAAATTAATATGCTTGGTCAGCCCCATGTTTCATTGTGTCTTCTAAAACAACTGGAGCTTGACTGCTTTCTTTGTTTACTTTCTACTCTGTTAATTTTGTCACTGTGATCAGTAATTCCATCTAAGAAGAAATTTTTCAATTGCTTTCAATTTTTTGTTTTTAAGACTGAAGATCTTTGTGCTGCTAAGGATCTGTATCTCCATTTGGAAATGATTTGGCACTGTAGACTCAAGGTTATAAAATTTAGCATGCTTGTAGTTGCATGCAAACATTTTTTTCCTAGTTTGGGCTCATCTGTATCTGAAGTGTTTGCAGTAATGAATATTATTAAAAAATACATTATCCACCTTCATCTTGGGGGACCTGATATTATGCTCTTGACATTGATGAAAGGCCTGTTTTGTTGCGTACAGCATTTAAAAAGACATAAGGTCAAGATCTTAAACATTTTAGACTTTATTCCTAATAACCTGAATATTCTAAGTCTTGAATTCTGAATTTGGTCATCAACAACTCTATATGACTGAAGGCAAATTATTTAATGTCATTCTGCTTTCAGGCTTAGTTTTTAAAAAATCTAACCCAGTGATTTCTGGTCATGAGTATTACTAATGTTACCTTTAAAGTGATTTTTGAACTACAATCCTTCATTCAAATCAATACAGAACTACCTTACAATAAATTTATTTCTACAAAAAATAATAATAGTAACTTATGTATTATATGTTACAAAGGAAAACAATAACTTATTGAAATTAAGAGAAACTTAAAGGCTACAGAGAATATCTTTGTGCCTGAAGTATTTTATTGGCTTTCTGGCCAAAGACAAATTAGGTAAGTTTTCTATGTAATTGGAATATATAATAATTGTAAGGAGATCTGTCTGGCTATTAAGTTACAGTTTTATGCTATTATGTGATACACTTTTACACTTTGCCATCCAGTATTTTTTTCTGTTTTGTTAAGTGAATCTGGGTAATAAATGCAAATCAAAACAAAGATGGATTTATTTTTTAAGGGAATTAAGTGTCTCCTTTAATTCTGTAAATAAATAAATGGAAGGCTTTATGCCCAGATTAGCTGCATTTACTGAAATCTGGAGTGCTCTGGACATTTGTACATTCTCTGAATTTGTGTTTGAGGAAGACCCGAGTGTAACTAGTGGAAAAACACTGTAGGGTTGCAGTTTGCTTCTGTGTTCCTTTAGAACCCATCCTCATTACCAAAATGAGCAGAAATAACAGAGTATAAGGAAGATAGTACTTTTAAAAAGCAATGTCCTGTTTAATAAATATACCTTTAACATATCAGAAAATATAAGGCAGCACTCAGTGTATTGCATGACGTGTATTGAATTATTCATTCAAATTTGATTATGTAGTTATCTGGTGTATGAATTTATTTAACTCCTGTGTGTTTTAAATATGTAATAGTTACAGAATTGTCCATGAGAAACATTTCAGTATTTAATGGAAAGTACTAAATACAATTCTTCTAAAAACTAACTCTGATTTTACGTTGGTTCCTTATACATCTCTTATATGACAAAAATAAGCAATTAACTTATTGTTGCATAATACTTTATTCCCTAGCAGGGGGAATCATTATATTGATAAGTGAGTGGAATGTTGCTTGGATATTATCCCGCATAAATCTTTCTGCTTTAAACTCACCAAAGGTTATGGAAGGATGCTTTGTGGTAGATTTACAGTTTTAGAATCATGGACACTTTACTTAAAACGAAGGTGTTTGTGCCAGGGTGGATTCTTTCAAAATAAGTACTAGATTTTAATAAGATTTTAAATAGACAAGGATCACAGTTTTTCTAATTTTCCATTAATATATCCTAAGTATTTCCCTGGAAAAATAATCTCATATTGATTTGACTCAAAGTAGGAGAGTGTGTTTGCCTTGGGTTTGGTGATTCTGATTGCCAGGCAGAAGATTACAGTAATACACCTACGTATTTTACAGCCAAATTTCTGGTTTTCAGTCTACATCCCCTGTTTCAGTGAGCTGGGAAACAGCATGTAGCAGTGTTGTGCTCGGGGCACTCATGGGAAGTGTGTTTTGGTCCTGACAGCGCCATGAATTGTGGGTTCTTCTGTGCACAGAGGTTCAAGAGGAACCAGGGGAGGTGTCCCTCCCTGCCCATGGGACCTTTGGTAGCAGGGCCAGTCTCTTGGGAAACGTGAACTGGAGCTTTGCTTGCTTGTATGTACTTCTTCAAGAGTTTAACTTAGGTTAAAAAACTGTTTTGCAGCCTGCTCCATTTTAAATCCTTTTGTGGACAACAATAAAGGGAAGACAGAATTTTGGTATGAAGAGCTATTTCTGAAAGAAACTTCAGAAGGAGGGAGAGACTTATGGCTTGGCAGAAGATAAATTCATGCTATTTAAGGATTAGAGGTCAGTGTAGTGAAAAGCGGAAAGACAGGAGTGTCACAGGAAGAAGACAGAGGCAAGAATGGTTGTGAAGAGCATGGAGAACAGGCAGGGGGACCAAATTTTCTTCTTTTTTTATCTCCTGTGGTCTGGCACCGGAGAGGCTGATGTTAAATTCTGTGCTTATGTGAAATAAAGTTTGTTGCTGAATATGTTAGAAAATGTCACCTACATAAAAGAATTCTAGAAATTAAATATCTATGAAAATTGTTATAGAATTTCTAATATCAATAAAATTATGGTAAAACATTCCCCCTCCACATCCTGTCGGTGTCTGATCTTATCGGATTACTGAAATGGCTGAGGTCGAGATGCAGAATACTTAATGCTTACTAAAATATCAAAATTAGCATGAGATAACCTTTTTTTCACGCTATTTAAATGTCTGATTTCACTGGTTAGAGAACTGAGAATCCAGTGACATGTTTTGACCTTGTATAAAACTCTGAAGTATTCTTACCGGTAGTGGGTGTTCCCATCAATAAAATTTGGATTCAAATATTTTCTGTACAGTGAGTGAAGTGCAGTTTTGTAAGTTTGCATAACTTGTATTGCATTCATTAACTACACTTCTCAAGTGATTATGCTCTTGTGTAATTTTTTCAATTTTATTCTTTAAATTAAAATATATACATATCTATAGTATATATTATACATGATAATTATAAAATATTTGAAGACACAAGTTCTTATATAATTACGCACATATAATTAATATAATATATTAATATACAATATATATGTATATGTTTACATATAAAATGTATACAGTATATATGTATAAAAAGTTAGAAATTTTCCATTGTAAAAAATTAATATTGGACAGATTTGGGTTTTTGTTTTAAATATATAGCAGTGTATAAAACATCATCTGCTTGCAGTATGAACTTCAAATTATTATAATATAGTGGGATTTTTAAAACTTCTCTTGATGTCAGGGAAGATTTCAGTTTCTAAATATTTTACCTCATCAAAACCTAGTGTTCTGCTAAATGAAAATTTTATGGATTGCCTTCTGATGTGCTCAATTGTCACACAGGACTTAATGATGTTTGCTGCAAAGTTAGCTGCCTACTAACTAGATTGGAAAAAGCATAGGAATCTAATTTGTGTTGATCTCACACTTTTCTTTACCTGCAGAATTGGACTGGCTTAGTAACCCAAGCTTCTCTACGGAAGATGCACTATTACTGCATCAGCGCACTACAGAAGTTGCAAATCTCCCCCCTGAAAAATCACCACTAATAAGGTAGAATATACGTCAATATCTTTTAAAATAGCCTCTTTCTTATGTCCTACTTATCTTTTGTTGCATGAGACCAAAATTGGGAGTTTTTAAGGCTGCTTTTCGTTCCACTCTGCAGTATTTAAAAAGGGCTGAACTGAGTCACACATAAAAGTATGAATAATGCTTCCATGTCCTTTAACTTAAAATAATGAGAAATTATACTTAGGCTATTATATTTCCATTTTCTTTTTCTCCCAGCTGTGTTTAAATCATTGTTATTTCAGAATAGAAAGAAAACTGAGTGATCATGAATCTTCATTAGCTTTTGAATGTCCTGAGTAACCCTTGTTAAGATTAAGCATCATCTTTGTGATTTCTCTGTGAAAACCAATTCAATCAGCCATTTCACAGTCATTTACTTTTTAAAAACCAGTTGAAGAGGTGAGTTAATGAAATATTACATGTATCAAGTTATGCAGCTCTGTAGAACATGTTGATCACTGAAGTGAGTGATGAAAATGAGCTTTAAGCCACCATGTTTGCTCAAGAACTAGTTTTCATATATTTACTGAAATGATTGCTATATGTGGCATATCTACACTATAACTAACATAAATCACTTTTAATTTGATACAGCCTCCTGTGTTTATCATGGCTGTTGGTAGTAATGATAGAAAAATTCTTTATAATGTCTTTATAATCACACCTGAGTATATCTTTTTCATAGAGTGGTTTGGGTTGGAAGGGACCTTAAAGATCATCCAGTTCCAACCCCCCTGCATGGGCAGGGACACCTTCCACTAGACCAGGTTGCTCAGAGCCCCATCCAACCTGCCCTTGAACACTTTCAGGGATGGGGCAGCCACAGCTTTGTATACTTATTCTTTTACGTGTATTGTGTGATTGAAATGCAATAACTGTTCTGTTCATAGTAATGTATTTTGCTTGTATTTCTTAAGATCTTTTCATTACTTTAATGTCATAAAACTAATGAATTTACAAATTGCCATTCAGATAGACTGACATAGTAAAGGCACCGTATATCATTAATCTTTGAAAAAGAACTTGTAAAAAATACTGTAGTGAGAAATGTGTGATCTTTTTGCCTATTACTAGGGTACATTCTCAGTTTAATAAAAACTTAATTACTCCAATATATGTGGTGTTTGGGGGGCATTGGTTTGCCTGGGGGAGTGTGTGTGTTTATTTTAAAGGCCCACTAATGATTCTCTCATGGCTTCTTTTGTCTTAGTACCCCCAAATAAATTGTGTAAAATTTTGGTGATAATAACAAACGGATATTTTTACAGATCACACATCAAAATGCCATTGACAATTAAATTTTAAGACTAGTTGTCAGTAATTCCAGCAGCTGAAGAAATAAAGACAACTGTGGCTTAGTGCAAATTTATATCACTTGAATTGTATGTGTTGCTGCTAACTCATCTACAAAAACATAGGTAGAGCAATGGTAAAGGGTGAAATTATTGTGAACTTAGATACCATAGGTGTGTATAGATACATGTACTTGTTTCCAAGCAGGACTACTTCAAGATCAGGAGAAAGTGATACAGATGAGAGCCTGAAACAGTCAAGTACAAAAAGGAAAAAGAAAAAGAAAAAGCATCACCATTATAAGAAGACAAAAAAGAAAAACAAAGGGGACTCCAGTAGTAGCGAATCAGATTTGGACACTAAGCACATCAAGGACAAAGCCACAAGAAGTGGTAAAAATAATGAAAAGGAAGCAGCAGCAAAGTATGTATTGATTAATACTAAGCAAGACATACATTCATTGTGTTCTTGTACATGTCTCTTCAATTTTACGAATTAAATTATTCCACTGGTGCGTATTATTTTTTGGAGATGTGTATGACTAACCCTGCATTCAAATGAAAATGAAAATGAAAATGAAAATAGAAATGAAATAGAAATTTAGTCAGAGTTTTTCAGGTGTGATTGTCATTTGAAGTACTGTTTGCGGAACAAAGCATGTTATTATGGTAATGAAATGTATTTTTAAAGACATATAGAAGCTTACGTCAGTTTTTGAAAGCATCTTGATTCCTTTCCTGGATCTTCAGTTTACTGTCAGAGTTTAGAGAGGGATTGCATTAAATGTTATTCCTAAATAATGTAAAAGTCTTAGCATGCAGCTGTGTTTACCTTGTGATAGTGTCCTCATAGACTTAACATTGCCTTTTTTTGATATTAAGACAAAGTTTGCTGTATGTTTTAACATTTATGTCCAGACATTGACTGCTCATGGTACATCTAGATGAGATTTGAACAATTGAAATTGTTTTGCTGTGTCATTTTTGTTAATTCCAGGAGCTCTGAAGTACTGTGTAATTAGTGGGGGTGTCATTTTTATATGCAACAAGAAAATAGGTATCTAGTGACTAGCACGATCTTTGAGCAGTAAAAGAGGTTCTGTGAATGCACTGAGTATTCAGGTTTGTCACACCTAGCTGTGCTTTTTCAGTCTGTTGGGTTTTGATAGTTTGATTCAAAGGAGCCCAAATCTAACTGGCTATGTAAGTTACCTTTCCCCATTTCTTGTCATGTTTCTGGTTTGAGCTGCCATTTTGCCTCCCTTTGATTCTCTAGTTCCTTTTTTTTCTTTAGCATCAGCATCTTTGGCTCTAATTCACAGCACTGCAGCAGCTCCTGGGGACAGAATGAGGATTTGGTGACATTGAGGCATTGTTGTTATAGCTGGCTGTCATCCAGGCAGTCTTTGCCTTTCCTCCAGCTTTCTTATTTTCCAGGCAGATTTACCAGGATCTGAGAGCATAGGCTTGTGGGCACATGTCTATGCCAAGGGCTCTTAAGATTATTTTCCCATGAAAGAATAGCAGTGATACTGGTGGATACTTGTCTGCTGCCTCTAGCCACCCTCACTACCTTCCAAGACTCTGTTGTTGGCTTGTGGCACTGAAGGTTTAGTTGGCTGTGAGGAAGCATAGTGAAAAATGACTGGGATGCTACAACCCTTCTGCTCTGCCCAATCACTCTTCTTTGCTGGAGAGTTTCTGGGCTGGATGCAATGGAATTATGTGCTGAACCTGGTTAATCAGCTGTTTCCTAGACCAGCCACAGCTTTGCCTGAATGAAGGGCCTGAAGTTCTTTCAGGGTGGCTATTTTAACTTTTTTCCATAAGTGGTTTATATTGAGAGAATACTGAGTTTTCAGGAAACTGTTTTTGAAACCTGAATCACAAAATTGCTCTAAATGCAATAGATCTTGTGAAATTTTGGAAAGCTTCTCCAGACTAGAAAACTCATTTACTAAATTACTTATTTGTAATGTGAATTCAGATTGGAAGTTCAGTTTGGAGGCAGGTGGCAATTTCCCCTTCAGGTCATTTGTATGAAGCACTTGGCATGCTATTTTACCAAATGCATGGGTATAATTTACAGCTAATCTACATAATCCCTTACAGATTATTCCCTTTAAAGAAGATGCTACAATTAAGAAAGACAAAAGTAAATTTTAAAAGTAATAATATATGGCTTTTAGATTATAGTTTACTGAGCCATTAATTGGTTAAATCTGGTTATTACCTTTCATAATCCTAAATCCAATTTTTGGAAATGCAAGGACTGTTTGTGTTTTGTTTTGATGATACTATTGGAGTATTTCCAGTTGTTTCTTTCCCAGTGTGTGACTTTGCAGTGATGGTCATATAACATAAATTATTATGAACTACAGAAATGCAATGTTTCCTGGGTTTTGTAAATGCTGAATGTGTTACCAGTGTTTAGAACACACTTGTTCTCCTTTGTTCAGTCTAGATAAGAAAACATCAAATCTTAGCAGCAATCGCTTTGTTTGGCTTGATGATATCCAGGCTTTCACAGCAGAAACCTTCAGAATCGACAAGAAACCAGACCCTGCAAACTGGGCCTACAAATCCCTGTACCGAGGGGACATAGCAAGGTACAGTATGTTGGGTTTTGTTGGTATTCAAACTCACTTTCTCAAGATTCACTAACTTGAGTCTGGCTGTGAAATTTTTTTGTAGCAGATGAGAAAATAAGATAACTGAGTGTTTTATTTCAAAATTTGACCTTCATTTTAAATGACTATAGATGGAAAGATATATTCAGCAACCTTAGTGGGTTACTTGTACTATGGGGACCCCTTAGAACATTGTGCGACATTAACAGTGAAGCCCATCTAAAAGAGCCTACGCTGGGCTCGTACATTTTGTATGTACATTTACAGCTAGATGTTCTCAGGGAGAATTTTTACTATATATAAAGAAGTAATTATTTGTGGAGGACGGAGGATTTATGGATTTTATTTTTGTAGTGTAATACCTTTGCAATATAATTGCCTGGTTACAATCCATTCAAATTTTCTTCCACCTTTAGATTGTCAGCTATTGTTTGAAATGAAAAGTGTTATTTTAGCATTGCATGTCACTACATCTGCCACTGAAGTGACATTCTTGGTAATATTCTTATTCTGTAGGATTATAGTGGCCTTATGAACCTGATCTCTCTTTCTTTTCCATGTCCCATGTTGTTGTCACTCCCCTCCCTGCCCTGGCCCACTTCTTGGCATATAAAATGAAGAGAGGCTTGAGGATACAGAAAGATATTACTGAACTACTATGTCTTAGTTTTCAGTTTAAAATAATCTAATATAAATAACTTTATATAATGCTGTCATTCTTTTTCCACATTTGTCTACATGGCTTAAAATGATAGGAGGAAAAAAAATGTTACTTCTGCGGAGCATGACAGGTATTGTTGAACTTAAAGGAATAATGATAATAAAAGTTTTGATGACTGAAAGAAAAAATATAAATTTAAGTGTTAATTAAGGGAAAAGTTACCACATTCTTACACTTTTGAAGGTCTATGCATACATTATTCTGGTCGTTTTTAATTAAAAGTACTTCTTTGATGCTATCTTTCAAAAAAAGTATCTTTTCTAATGGGTATTTTAGGAGATGTTTAATTATATTTTTCCTTCTAAGATATAAAAGGAGAGGAGAATCCTGTCTTGGCATAGATGCAAAGAAGCAGTGTATAACTTGGGACAGTTCTGCATCAAAAAGGAAGCAGTTACAGAGGCAACCTGAGCGCTACTTCACAAAGAACAATGTGAAAATGCTGAACACAGATGGGATTTCTGTTGTCAATAAAAGTTCTCCATCTGACCCAATTGCTTTTATACCAGTTTCCCAAATGGAAACTGATGATTCTTCCAACACAACGGAGGTAAATCCTCTTGGGATTTATGATCCATCAACTACAGTGTGGCTAGAAGGAAAGGGGTGCAAGAGTACAGACCATGAGCCTGTAAATACACAGCAAACAAATCAAGAGCCTGGGATAAACATGAACTCCATTCTAATGACAAAAGTGGAAGAACATAACAAGAAAGTCAGAGAAAACCCAAGAGATATTAATGCTTGGATGGAATTTGTTTCTTTTCAGGTATGTGTTCAAACAGGCTTATTCTAAGTAATAAATTAACATGATATCGTAGTTTCATTTGTTTAGGACTGTGTATTTTCTGTTGGTGAGGAATGAACTGTTAATTTGTCTTCACAAATGTCAGCATTCTTCTCATTATTCTAGTGATGATTCTTCCTAATTTGTAATGATTTTTCTCTTTGTTTTAAGGATGAATTAATGAGAGGACCTAGCCCTTATGCCAGTAAGGGAGAGCAGGAAGTAAGAAGAAAATCACTGAAGTTAATCTTAGAAAAGAAGCTGGCTATTTTAGAGAGGGCCATTGAAAGCAATCCAAGTAATGTTGATCTGAAACTTGCCAGACTGAAGCTTTGCACAGAATTCTGGGAACCGCCAGCTGTGATTAAAGAATGGCAGAAGCTAATTTTCTTACACCCCAATAATCCAGAGCTATGGAAGAAGTATCTCCTGTTCTGTCAAAGTCAGTTCACTACCTTTTCCGTTTCAAAAATCAATAGTCTCTATGGAAAATGTTTGACTACCTTGGCAGCTGTACAGGATGGCAGCATGGTATCACATCCTCTGCTGCCTGGCACAGAAGAAGCTATGCTAGGTAAGTCTGTTTCATGTCATGGTCAGAATGGTCCTTGTTGGAGTTGAGTACATTCTCCGTAAGAATAGACTTTACTATGTATGACAGGAAGTTTTTATTCTCTTCAGAATGCCTGGCATCCTGATTTCTTAGCTGAGAATTAAAACAGATATTCTAACCAAATATGGATGTAGCAGATGCTTTTCTTCCCCAGGAGAATTTGTGATATAACATCCAGTAAAGTGTAATGTACTGAGCAGTTTACAGCACAAATGTCTGGGCTGGAGAATTGCAGCCAACAGTGGGAGATGGGCTTTTATCTTTTAAGAATGTTTATTTAAAAAAAAAAAAAATTAGCTTGTGAAAAAACAATTATATCTTTTTCAAAAGTTTTAATTACTTTAATCCAGAAAAGACATGGGACATGGGATGGCTGATGCTAAATTTTCTTGAGCATCCCAGTTCATAGATGGAGAATTCTAAACTGTAATACCATGCATCTATCTACCACTTAAAATTTATTATATAATTATCCCTGGAAGGAAAATTAGTCAGATGGTTACGATGCTGGAATGGATCCAGGGAAGAGACAAGTCTGCTCAGTTCTGGCATGGGCTTAGATTTTATTTGGAGCTAAAATATTTAACCTATATAATTTCAATTTTGGTTCTCTACCTCAAGGGGTCATTGTGATTATTAATCTATGAATACACTGAGGAGGGGAAAATATTAGTGTCACCATGAATATGGGGTTTTTTTTGCTTTTTCCTCTTAAAATTTGTTTTAAATTTAAAGGACTGTTAAAAAGCAGTCTACATTTCTTCATGTGAAGCATAGTCCAAGGACCCTCTATTTTTATCCAAGTCCCATAACTGCTGTTTGGACAGTGATGCTGTTATGCAATATCCAGTCTAGATTTATAGGTTGAGATGCTGGATTACAAATTAGTTTCAGGTGTTCAGATCTCTAACGGTTTTTTGGTTGATTCATCTTGGATCAAGCACTGGAAAATACGCTGTAAAGGAAAAAATCTTGTGCTGGCAGGTGGATATTATACTGCCTGATAGCTTCTAATTGCTTCTGCTGTCTCTGTTTTCCAACTTCAGTCGCTTTGTAACACTACCACAATGAATGATTTTCAGGAGAAATATTTTATTCAGCGCGTATTTTTTTTCAAAGGGGAGAGTTGTTTTTGTTTGGTTCTTTTTTTTCATTTTGTTTCCCTGCACGGGGCATATTTGACTCAGGAAGTAGTATTTGTCAACTGCTACGAGAATTTTTTTTAATACCGTTCCTTTAACTAGTTAACTATGTTAGCTTGACCGACATTTTTCAAAGTACTTGCTTGCTGGCAATGTCTATAGATGAGTTAAAATTAAAATTGACTCAACTTCATTTAAATTTCTGTTCTACTCTTAATGTCTTATTCTGTATTAAAGCTACAGTGATTTGTTTATGAACACTGTTGAGGGATTTGGGTGTTTTCTGGTGATGGTGGTTTTTTTCTTTTGGAATTCAAATTATAGGAGTAGAGGAATTTCCAGTAGGGAGACTTCCTGATCTGAGATTTTCTTTCATGACACAACTATCTAATTCCTGGGCTGAATTTGAACTGTCAGAGTAGTTAATAGGAAGATTACCAAATTTTTTGTTAATATAAATATACAAAGAGTTTCATAAATTAATTAAGAGTTCAGTAGTAGTGTAGATATATGGTAGGCGTGTATTGTCAACCTTTGACCTTCACTAATGATGAAGTATAAGAGCTAATTTTAAATAGTGGTGGACTGTGCCATCTAGTGTTCAATTCGGTTTGCGGTATTATCTGCTTGGAAAAGGGTGGGTGTATTTTCAAAACACAAGTCAAGATAACAGGTAAAAATTAATTAAAAATTGTATATCTTTTTTTTTGCTTAAATTTTGAGATAAAAATGCATAGTATTTTTAATTGACTATGAACTGTTAATGTCAAGCAGATTAAGGTAAGCGTTCTCAAATTTTGCTCTGGAAGTGAAGTCTTATTTTTTAAATTACGCCTACTAGCTGGGGAGAAACATCCTTATCTTTTAGGTCAGTTCAGCTGCAGAAATGTCTTAGCATCATGGACTGAATTAAGTATGTATTCTTGCTGTGTTCAGCTTTTACCACAAAGAAAATGCTGATATTTGCATTTCTTCAAATATCTTTTTATTTTTTATCATGCAGAAAATCTTATGCTATAATTTATTTTTGGCTTCAGTTTGGCAGCAAATCCTGATGAGAGATTCTGTACATTCAGACTATTTTAATCAAAGTGAATCTGTTTGAAGACAGAAACTTTTTCAGTGTCAGTTGGACACAGTGCTTTAATTAATTAATTAATAATTAATTGTTTAAAATACTTTGGAATATTATTTTATATCCTTAAACATACTTTTTGTTGTTTAAGTTTCTTCAGAAATCTCAAGTCTTTGTTATCAGAAACAATAGTTGACTTTGCAGGAAAATTGAATTAAATACGTAGCTTGTATATTCTAGCTGAATTCAGATTTTCATGTTCACACATGTGCATTCAGATGTTACTTTGAATACACTTAAAAGGAGTAAATAATTTCTGCTTCTTTAGTATTAAAAAATTTGATTATCATTAGAAGCAATTGATGCTAACCTATGTTGTTTCATGTCTATGTCTAGACATTGAAGTATTTTGATCATTTAAAACCATCCAAAGCAAATGCATTTAGTGAAGAAACAACAGTTTTTGAAGAACTGTTTTCAAAATGGTCAATGAATTATTCAAGCCTCGATTTATGAGTTTAGGGGGTTTTTTTGCAAGCCAGTTAAGAATGTGGTTTAGAGCAATTTGCTTTTTTAACAGCCACTGTTTTGTTAAGTCTTGGGTGTAATTTGGAGTGGTGGAATATCTCTGAAATATCCTGGAACTGTCTAATAATAGAGGTGTTTAATAATACCTTTTATTTCTACAGCTCTTTCGTTTAAGACTCTCATTGCAAATAAATGAATAGAAAAATGAGGGCTTTGCTTCCCTTTATAAGCTGAGACTTGAAGCTCAGTGTGTGGTAGGGATATGGCAGTGATTACAGAAATAATTTGTTGAAGAGCACAGGATAGGATTCTTCTCTACTGTCTAGCAGTAATACTTTGACCAAAAGACTGGACTTCTCCTAGCTTAGTTCTTCTCTAAAGGAAAAAAAAAAAAGGAATGACAGTTGGAATGAAAATGGTGTATTACCAGCATATTACCAGTGTAACTATCACATGCAGAATGAGGCAAAAAGGATTTTGTTATAATCACATAATACCCAGCATCTTCAAGAAGGGCTATGACCCATTCTGACACATACTGGGTAAACTGAAGTTGGATCCATTCTGTATTACTTTTATTCATCAACACGGACATTGCATATGTAACATAAATAAAAACTCATCTGTTTGGTGCATTTAAAGTGGGAGTTCTTAATTAAGCTACAACAATTCTGATATACATTTATGCTAGTTACTCCCTGTAGTTTTGATTTTGATACTGTTCCAAAACAATCACGCTCCACAGCACTTCGTGTATGTCTTTTGTGTATTTATGGTCTGCAATAAAATACTTTGCAACTTTTTTTTTGTTTATATGTTAAAATTTTATCTTTTTTTACTTTTCAGCTATATTTATTCAGCAGTGCCACTTTCTGAGACAAGCTGGCCATTCCGAGAAAGCAGTGTCTTTGTTTCAGGCTCTGGTTGACTTCACCTTCTTCAAACCTGACAGTGTAAAAGATCTGCCAACAAGGGGACAGGTAGCAATTTCCATTTAAGTGCATGTATGTCCTTGTGCTTTACAGAGAATGCTGTAACAGAAAAATGTTGATGAATTTTTAAGAACATAGGGAAACACTTAGAATCACAACTTACTTTGTGGTTCTTCAAGGTGATGCTTGCGTTGGAAAAATGCGGGCTGGTCATCTGGAACTACATGCCAAATGGCTGCTTCTACTATGTATCGTAGAAGTGTGATAACCCGTCATTTCGTGGCTTCTTTTTTACTCATTAAAGACAGAAAAAAAAAAGCTATCTGATCAAAATCCATGTCTAGTTCGCACTTCTTTTCTTCTTTTCCCCAAACTGTTGTTTTTTATTAGTGTTGATGGGAGAGAGTTGAACTATAATTTCCTTCTTTTCTAGATGGTTCTTGCAAGCGTTCTTAGGTTCTCTGTTACCTGTTGTTTTCTGTAATTCTTTGATGGCTGAAGGAACACCTTCATGCTTTAAAGTATCTTTTATTTGACCCATGAGATTCCAGTCAACTGATTCTGTTAAAGTAATAAATCACTTTTGATTTGCTCAGGAGAATTTTGGGCATGCACCCTAATAATAATCGGTAAGTTAATATTCGGGGTGGGGGCTTTTGCCACGGTAGCATCATCCCACTGAAATGGTGCTGCTTCCTTTTTAATGAGGGGTAGAGGGCTTAAGGCAGCTGGGCTACCACAGAGGACAGAAAATTTCTTTCCTTTTATTACCTCTCCTTCCTCAGCAACCATTATTGAAACTTCATGTTTTTTGGTCTCTAAATTAATACCACTGCCCACAAATGGAGCAGTCTTGTAGTTTCAGTAATAGTGGTGTCCTCTTAAAGAGCCAAAAGTTCCAGTTGTTTGAAAAACTGCAAGATTATCTGCAGTGTTTAGAAACTGTTAAGAAAGTGGGGTGGAAAGGAACCTGAATTTAAAAGGACAGTGTTTATGTTGGAAAGTGCAAATTTTGAAAACAGATTTTAAAATAATTGCACATTCTGCCCTCTTACAGAAGCATTATTGTTCAATGTTGAATTGTTTGTTTCTGTACTGTATTCAGTGCTCACATTCTCACTTGGAGAAAAGAATAAATCCACGAGGAACAGAATTAGATGTTGCATTTGCTGTAAGCGCTGATTTTCTGATATGTCAAGGCTTGCTTTTTCTTGACTTTTATTGTTAATATTTGTATTAACAGTCACATTTCAATGTCCAAGCCAAGGTTTGGTACACAGCAGAAGCACCTGCTAGGAGAGAGCTGGTCCTTAGAACTAAGTATACACAGGGAGGAATTGATTAAGGTGGTAGATTGCGTGTGGGCAGTGACAAAGTCAGAACTAACCCTGAAATTCTGATTCACTGGACAGTGCCCTGAAGTTCTTGACCACCCTGAAACCTGAGAGATGAAAGTCCTTACTGGTATTTTCCTCTTGTCTTCTGTCCAGTCATATTTGTGTCCAACTGCAGCATTTTGATTCAACCATAGGTATATGATAATCTAAATATGGTCCCATGGAAGATGGGGAGGAAGGGACGTTTGGTTTATGAAAGCTACATCTTGCGGACTTTAGATCCTTATCCTTGAAGGATCTGTATAGGTCATCTAACAAAGTCTTTAGCTACAGAAATTGCACCCAGATAAGAGACTGTAGGGCTTGGAAAACTTAAATTGACCCAGATGGCATCTGTACAACAGCAAAAAATATTTTTCTGTGTTTTGTTTTGTTTCCCATTGCCCAAAACAACAGGTGGAATTCTTTGAACCTTTTTGGGATAGTGGAGAACCACGAATTGGCGAAAAAGGTGCAAGAGGCTGGAAAGCATGGATGCATCAACAAGAGAAGGGTGGTTGGATTGCTCTTAAGGCTGGTATGCTTATGTCCATAAGTGTAGCTGTATATCCACATGTTCTTCTAAGCATTTGAGCAATACAAGCTGTTTCTTCTTGTGTTTTTGTATACAAGTTTAAAAAATATTTACCAAGATTAAGATAAACTGTATGACACTTTACAGGCAAAAACATGTGTTGAGTGTTCTGTGTATGATTTTTTATAGATTATTTTAGTCCTAGGGATGAGAGTGAAGGAGAGGATGGCATATCCTCCACTCTGTGCTGAAGAGGCTAAAGGTGTGAGTGCTTGGTTGAGACCCACACCCATATAAAACCGAAGGAAGCTACTTCACTTAAGACCTTTTCATCATATTGGTAGATCAGACCCTTTCATCATATTGGTAGATCAGATGGAATTACAGTGTTAGATGATAGTTGTCTTAAGGATTCTTTGCTTAATGATTCTATTTTTAGAATTAGATTTCAGTTTCTTATAGCAAAGAATATAGTAGAAATAGGAGGAAAACTTTTCCTTGCTGTTTGTGACACAGAAAATGAAGGAATTGCATCTTCACTTAGCTAGAGTTTTTCTGGGTGAGCAGAGATGCAGAAAGTGCCTCCCTGGTGCTTAGTCCCACCTTGTCTTCTGGTGTACAATACTTCCCTTAATGTCAAGAACTGTTTCTCAAACATACGTTTTGAAGGGAAGCAGGGGGCTGGAGTGTGTCTGACCAAAGATGAGCTGTCTCTGCTTTTTCTGCTTCTGCTGCTGTAAGCAACTTTAATGAAGTAAATTTGGCTTTGCTTTTAGTAAACAGAGGAACTGAAAAATGATCCTGCACTTCACTAGTCCCTGGATTAAGATACCATTTCCTTGCCCCTTGACTGAGGTTTGCAGTCCCACTGCTAATGGCTTTAGATTTTGCCCATAAATTCAGAAGACTGAGTATAGAGAAGAGGACCACTACTAGTCTTGGGCAGGTCCAGTGTGTATCAGTATTTTTTCCCATTCTTTGCAAGCCCAAAAGTTCAGATGTATAAGAGTGTATGATCTCCAAAACAGTCAAGTTTTTCAAACTTTGGTTAGATTCTGGAAATGTTGTAATTTTTTATAGTTGCTGACTAAAGAAGGGGCTGTAGCTCACAAAAAAACAGGGTAAAAATCCTGCCACCACCTGGTGGGTTTACTCAAAATTGAAGAAGTGGGAATGGGAGTGTTTTACCTAATGAATGGGAAATGTCAGGATCAAGACCTTGTAGGTGATGTAGAAATGGCCTGATTTTTGTACCAAAAACATAAATAGTGAAGGTAATCTTAAGTTTTGAGGACTTTGAGAAAGAAAAAAAATATTTTAAAATCTCTACAAGCTTTCCTTTAGCCTACAGGTGTTCATCGGTTTCTGCACAGAATGAATGATGTTTAACATTACAGTATTACTTTTAACTTACAGTGATTCTCAAGGTGTTTTATTCACGAGTGTTCATAGAACACTTTTGAGTTTGCATGCCCAGATATGAAGTGAAGAACCTAATTTGCACAAAAAGATTACTGACTCCTGGCTGTGCTTGCAAACTTTTGTTGATAAAAATGGCCCACAGCCTGTCAGTGTTTTATTTCTCCTCTCTGAGAAGTTTTGAGTGCCAACACTGATTTAATGGTTCAAAAAGTCTGAAGACTTCCTACTTCTACAGAGTTGGTGTCAAAACCCAGAACTGTGACATGGAGATTTTCAGCTCTGTCTTACATCTATTTAATTAACAGTGGTTTTGCTAACATTTTTAAAGTAGTAAGTTGTATGACAAGTCTGGTCTTTGGATTTGGTTGGTTAATATATCTTTAATAATTTCATGGGTGGTGTTTGTCTTTATTTGGTTTTAGATGATGATGATGATGAAGAGATAGATGAGGATCAAGAAATAAAGGATAAAACTCTCCCCAGGTGGCATATTTGGTTGGATATTGAATATTCTCGTGAAGCAAGACATTGGTTACCTTGGAGGCCAGACAAAACCAAAAAGGAAACTGAAGAAGATTGTGAAGATCCAGAAAGACAGGTCACTGTGATATTATTATAGGGGAGATAATACAAGGGGAGATTATAGAATGAATTATCCTTTGATTTGAACTCATTGCCGGTGGATATTTTAGAGAGTAATCCTTTTCAGCATGTGGAAAGAAATATTTTCTGTGCAACATTTTCTGGAGGTTTTGTGCTGAAGCTTCACAGTAAGCTTTGGAAAAGGCTGTAGGCAAATGCACTGTCTTTGCTGTTCTGTGGTTTCTCTCATCTGTAGGTGGAAATGTTACAGAAAACTGTGTTAAAGGAATTATATGCATTAAATCAGCAAAGGTTTTGTTACTTTCAAGTCAGATAAGTGTGTTTTGTTCTTTTTTTTTTGGGGGGGGGGAGATAGGTCAAGTCAGATGTGAATTTCCAAATAAAAATGTGCTAAGTGACCTAAGCAATAACCTTTCAGGTCTTCATCATATCAGTTTCCTGTGAAGGTGTCTGATACTCAGGGGCAAAGAAATCTCTTGATAGCAAATTTACAGTGAGTGGAATAAAAACTTGCCTGTTTTTAATTTGAATGACATTCTATTACCATTTAATAGCAATTATAAATTGTATTTACAGGATTTTTTAATTACATAAGTTATAGGTTTGCTAATTTTGTTTGATTGCATAAATTAACAAAGTTTGTTTTAATTTGAATTTCTTTAGGTATTATTTGATGATCTTGGACCATCTTTAATCCGGCTTTCTAATCCAGGTCTTCAGCATCAACTGCTCTACTCATTTTTGCAATTCCTGGGAGTTCCATGTGCAAGTAAACTCTTTCCTTCCAACCTCTATATTGCCATGGATGAAAATAACATCTTTGACAGTGTGCTTTCTGATGAAAAGCCATTGACTGCTGTTCACTTTCCACTCTCTGGATTCAACAGTATTGGTCATATGGACACAATGCAAGGAGGGAGACATCATATAGGCCATTATAAGGAAGGAGAGGAGTTCATACAGAATGTTTTTCATGTTCTATTCCCACTGTTATCAGGAAAGGAAAAATCTGACCTGTCCAGTTGTTGGTTACAGTATGAAATTTCTAAGGTAATAAGGAATCTACATACAATCACTTTTGTGATGTGTGGCTTTTGTGTGTGTTAATGTTTATATTGAATGAAAGCTAGTATGGATGAAAATTAAGTCTTGTAAGACTAAATAGTCAAAACAGGAAATGCCAGTTAAGGTTGATCTGGGAGTGAAAAAAAAAATCCAACCCCTTTCCTTCAGTACATGTTACAAAGTGACATACATGTAAGTAACCAAATATTTTCTGCATACAGTCTTGGATAAATGCTACTATAAAGTATGCTGCATGATGGGCTGACATGGATGCAAGTGATTTTTTTTTTACAAAGCAAAGTGAGTCAGCCAAGTACTTTTACCAGGCTTGTCTATAAAGGGCATAATCTCCAATACCATGATAAGAGCACCTCATCAAGAAACTTATTACTTCCTATACAAGTTAGTTTGTAGTATTATTGAAAGAAATAACACCTTAATCACTTGAATATGGATTTATTTAAATAAAAATGCTCTAATAGATGCCTACAGAAGGGTAAGAGTCCAGATTGTCTTCCTAAAACTTCAGAAAGTTTAGTGTTGTCTTTCTTTATGGAGAGTTTAGTATGAGGGTGGTGAGACACTGGAACAGGTTGCCTGGGGAGGTAGTGGATGCCGCCTCCCTGGAAGGGTTCAAGACCAGGTCGAATGGGGCTTTGAGCAGCCTGGTCTAGTGGAAGATGTCCCTGCCTATGCAGGGGGGTTGGAACTAGATAGTCTTCAGGATCCCTTCCAATGCAAACCACTCTATGACTCTATGAGTTCCCTGTCTCCTATCCAAACACTACCTGACCAGAAGCTTTCCTGTAATTTTCACATCCAATCTCCACATTTGTCTATCATCATATTCCTCACTGTGAAATGCTTCTTGGAGGTTTAATTGTGCAAGTCATGAGCTGCATCTGGTCAAACAGAATAATTTCTTTTCCTTTTAACAACCATTACAGGTTAGAAGCTCTTTATTTGAACAGTTGGCCTTTTAGAAGAGTGAAACCTGGTATTATTTAATGGCAGTGGGAGGAGTAACAATGTCAAGACTGTAATTTGTGTTGGAGGGAGCTGCCAACAGGCAGTTCTGACAGCTTACAGTACTCAGCAACAGATCTGGCTGGTGATGAAATATGGAACAACATGAAAACAAACACAGTAATAAAATTAAGAAATGCTGTGAGGTTTGTTTGGCTTTTTTTCCTTTCTTTTTCCATCCCTTTCAAAATTTGTTGTTTATTCTCGCTGCAGATAGTTCAGTGTCTCCAAACAAAAAACAAGAAAAAGCTGAAAGCACAAGGGAGGAAGAGTAAAAAGTTGGCCAAGAATCTCCTTAAAGCACCTGACAACCGAAACCACCTTTCCCTCTGGAAACTCTATGCCTACCTGGAATGGCTGCTTGGTAACATTGATGATGCCAGGAAGGTATTTGACACGGCGCTTTCCACGGCGGGGACAGGAGGACTGAAGAGTCCCCTGCTCTGCAGCCTCAGTCTGCTTTATGCTCAGCTGGAAGTGGAATTACTGGAAAGTCTAGAAGGAGCTGTTACATCCCGTGCAGTTCATATCTTGACCAAATTGACTGAAAGTGGAACATATGTGCCTTATAGTGGACAAGTGTTATCTGTGAATGTCTTGAAAGCTCGTAAAACGTATGAGCATGCACTGCAGGATTATTTAAGTAAAACGCTGGTTTATGATCAGGATCAAATCAGTGATACTAATCAGCTGGTTAACTTGGTTGGTTGTTATGCACTGTTCCAGTATTTGACTGTTGGGATTGATGCTGCAGTATTAATATATGCACAGATTTCAGGAAAACTTGAAGCCCCCGTTCCACAGAAATTTGAAAATACTGGAGAGAATTTTGGCATTCAAAACTTTCCCACTGCTCTTGAAGCTGTCACACTGCTGCATACAAATTTACTCAGGTTCCACATGAAAATTAGTGTTTATCCTTTGAATCCTCTGCGAGAAGCACTAACGGAGGCTCTGAAAAGGTATCCTAGCAACCAGTCTCTTTGGAGGTCATATATCCACATCCAAAGGAAGTCCCACAGTGCTAGCAAAGCACGAAGATTTTTTGATGGTGTCACAAGGTCTACAAACTCTTTAGAGCCATGGCTTTTTGCAATCCAAGCAGAGCAGATGAGAAAAAAACTCACTGACAGTGTCCAGAGGTAATATCTTGCAGCTCCATATGTTTATGCTTTTTTTCATATGTCTGATGACTTAACAGAGCAAATGCTATCACAGTTCTCATTTTGCAGATGAAGAATCTGTAGCTAGGGAAAGCTCTTTGTTAAAGACTGAGCAGTGAGGCAGAGGCAGAATCCTGTGTAGAATTAAAGACACGTGGTAGTCTCACATATTTTTTACTGGATCAGATTGTGTGCTTGATTGTTGCTGTTGACATCAAGATGTACACATTTCTGTAAGTAATATGTAAATAACTAAGAACCTGATTAAGTGGCCAAGGAGTAGACACTGTGAGCTCAGAAATGTCTGCATTTTAATATTACAGCCATAAGGAGAGTAACACAGAGCTGTGCTGCAGTTTCTGACTGAGCTTGCTTCCCTACTTTACTCCTGGATCACAGAATTCAGTTGTGGCAGATCTGTTTCCATAGTGAGTACTTGGGAGTTTAGTTTCCATATGAGGCTGTTGCTAGGTAGAAGAGGCTGGAAATTTCCTGAATTTGCAGATTGGTCTGAGCTCAGTGATTTTGCTCCTGGGAAAGGATATGACATGTGGGTAACAGAGGTATGTGCTCATTCTTAAAGCTTAGTCTCTAACTGTTGTCTACCCGTTGTTTGGAGCTACCTCTCCACTGCTACCTACATTTCTCTAATAACATTGACAGCCTGGGGCTTTGTGTCTGCACATAGCAACAGAGATTTCTAGGAAAATGTTACCTGGGAGCTTTGCATAGCTGTAGGCTTACATTACTCACACTTGATGAAATTATGGTGCACCCACTGCTTTGATTGCCACAGTCTGGCAAGTGGCACGAACACATGACATTCCTGAGCTGTCAGTGTATGTCATCCTGAATTTTAATAAGAATTGTACAGTCACCAAATGTAAAGGGGCGTCATATTTTGATTTACTGTTAGTTACAGACTGACACGATGTTAAGTTTTCAGCATTGTTACTGGAAACTGATGTTAAGATTCCAGAATGGTGATTTTCTCCATGCCATTTACTTTTTTACAGGTTGTTCTTTGCTAGCATAGCCTTTCCTGTAGGTTCTAACTGGATGGATGTTGCAAGCACAGAGCTGAGCTACTGCAACAGAGAGACAAATAGCCTGTCAGTTATGCAGGAAACTAAGGCTTTGTGATGTTGTGACAAACCAAGAAATTGTCTGTATTATGTGTGACATTTTCCTATTGTATTTTATATTTCTGCTTTTTTAAGTGCTTGGAATTTATTTGAAGAAGTGAACATGCAGGGTAAAAGAGTAGCATATGTAAGTCAGGCTGAGGTGCAATGCTTAAAATGTCTGACTGCATGCAGAATAGGTTACATCAGTTTTTCTCATGGCATAGGTTAAGATGAGAGGCCTCAAAGACCCTTGAAAAAAAGAAGCAAGCTCGGAGCAAGTGTTATGAGTGAATAGAACAAGCTGGCAGGCTAAGGGAATGCACACAGACAGAAGTGGTGTTGCCATGAGTGCACCAGGCTGTTTCTTCAAGCTCAAGCTTTAAAAATAAGACAGTCTGTATCAGCTGTAAATAGAAATCAGTGCTTCGGTGAAACATATGTACCTGCTTTTGTGTTATACCTGCAATTTAGGGGATTGCTGTTGTAATCGTGGTTGGGATCCAGAACTGTAATCTAGGCCTTGATCCAAGACCAATGTATGGTCTTCCAGAGGTGCCAGAGGTAAATTTGAACAGGCTTGCCCGGGCAGCAGAAGAAAGCTTGCTGACCTAGATTTAAATTTATTTGAGCTGTGATGTCAGGCTTGGAATGGTAAATGATTATTGTTCTCAAAGAGAAATTACCTCCTCTGGTTGAACAGGATCAATTTTTCAATACGCTAAAAGAATTTTCACAAAAATACCTAATTTATATTATTTTAACTGATTTTCCTATTTAGAAATGTGTTGATTAGATGAGCAAGTGCTTAAAATCTGGTTTATAAAATTCAGAGTTTGTAGCATGAATTACAAAGACCTGGCTACATAGAGTGCTAGAGTACATTGATCTTTACCTTCTCTTACCTGGATGTGGTCCTTTAGTTTAAGATTAAGGGATATCCGAAAAAAATTTTTTTACTGTGAGAGTGACAGAGCACTGGAACAGACTGCCCAGGGAGGTTGTGGAGTCTCCTTCTCTGGAGACATTCAAAACCCACCTGGATGCGTTCCTGTGTGATGTACTCTAGGTGACCCTGCTCTGGCAGGGGGGTTGGACTAGATGATCTTTCGAGGTCCCTTCCAACCCCTAAGATTCTATGATTGTGGTTTCTTTTTTTTTCAGGGCAGGAATTGGTGAAATACATTCTACTATTCCTGAAACTGGGTTAACAAACCGGATTGTAGCTCTATTTGAACATGCAGTTCAGAGTGAAAATGGTACCCATTGTCCACTGCTGTGGAGAATGTATTTGAACTTCCTGGTAAGAAGAAAGTATCAGTTTTATGGTTTCTTTTGCCATATTTGGACTTTATCATGAACACAGCTACAGTACTATTAAAAAAGGAATAATAAATGCTTCCATACCTATAAAATTTGCAAGGTGATACGGTTGAATTGTAATGCTCCTTATTGCTGTGAATATTAGGGAGAATGTAATTCATATGGATTAGGAGTAATGGCTTCTGACTGTAGTTTTAATATGGAGTAGGCAAGTTATTTTTATCTTACGGGGATAAAATATGTCATAAGAAATCAATAGATGGATTCCACCCAATCTTACAGTAAAAAAGTGTTTCAGTTTGTGCCCACTGCCTCTGGTGCTGACACTGGGCACCACTGAAGAGGGCCTGGCTCCCCCCCCCTTCAGATATTTGTACACACCGATAAGATTCCCTTCTCTTCTCTAGGTTAAACAGTCCCTGCTCTGTCAGCCTCTCCTCACAGGAGAGATGCTCTAGTCCCTGACTTCAACTGAAACACTTGGCAGAGGCTTTCTGCTACTCTTCTATTCCTTGTCTTACAAGTAAAGCCCTGGAACTCCTTAAAAGACATCTCTTAGATTACATTGAAGACTGTCACCCATGTAAGCTATGAAATTGCAGTTACCACAATACATCGTAATAAGTATTCCTCAGCAGAGGAACACTGAGATTTTCAGCAGTGATTTCTTTGTCTTAGAGGTAATGGTTTTATTATTTCAGCTATTACTGCATTAAAGCATGAACATTTTTTTCTCATACAGGCTTCACTAGGAAAAAAAGAAAAAAGTAAAGGATTGTTCTATAAAGCCCTTCAAAACTGTCCTTGGGCAAAGGTAAGCATAGAAAAATGTAGATCTGTCATCATACACTAATTTTTTGAGTTCTGTATTAAAAAAATAAGTTACCATTCAGTAGTGTTTTTAATGAGTTATATGCAAATGAAAGGAGAGATTTTTGAAGGAGAAGTACTGTAAGATTTTCTGGAAATAAGAGATGCATCTGAAATGGAAACAGATACAGTGGTCAGTGCTGTTTCTATTTCTAAACAGAAGGATGTTGTGTTCCATGAGGTAAGGAGATAATAAATTCCTGTCATCTAGAAGTGATCATGTTTCCCAGACCATGTTTTTTCATCAGCATGGTAGCAGCAGAAATACAGAGGCACACAGAAGTTTAGAGGTAATAGTATAAGAAATCATTCAGGAGCACCTGCAACTCCTCAGGTATTGTCTATGTATGCTGCAAATGCTCCAGTGCCTCTTCACCTGCGTTTTATCTTTTTGCATAAAATTATTTAGTAAGAGATGGAAAAGACTTGATGAAACATCTACATTGCTGTCATTGTAGAAGTACTATTTCCGTTTGTATTATTTTGAAGTGTATGATATTTCTTATGTTCTTGCCACAGAGTTGCTTGCCTATCTAGGTACATCTTTATACTGTGTTTCTTGCTCTAACAGAAAGATGGCACAGAAAATACTGTCATTGTCTTTCTAGGTACTGTATATGGATGCAGTGGAGTATTTCCCTGATGATCTGCAAGAGACGCTTGACCTAATGACTGAAAAAGAGCTGCGAGTGCGGGTACCTCTGGAAGAGCTGGATCTTCTATTAGAGGTCTGAAAGGAGACTGCAGAGGAAGTACAGAAGATAGTTCCAAAACTAACAGACCTGTCTCTTCAAACAGGAATTCTGTTGGGACTTGGGTATTATGTACTTTTTTTAAGTGTTTTTTTGTTGTTTTCTTTTTTTAAGCTTTTTTAAAAATTGCTATCAAAATGGAGTTCTACTAGCTGTGAGTATCTTGCAGTCAAGTGCTGCATTTTGCCTGCAAATATGCACCCATTTCCCTCAAGTATCCTTCCAGAGAAGGATGCCCTCTTAGAAATATCTTCCTGTTGGATTTTGCCAGTATTTCTTATTCTCTTGTTTAAATGTACATTCTCAGAGTTCAGCAGAGATCCAGTACATGCCAACTATGGTTTGGTGAGCAGCACAGGAAATAAACATCTGCCAAATGTCTGCTCCACTGTCCTCCAGTTGGCAGACTTCAGTTATTTCCTTCAGCTTGGTATGCATGCCTGTGTATATATAACTACCAAGTCAAACAGCAGTTACAGCTGTACATAAACTGTTAGTAAAAGCTAAATCTTTGTTTAAGCAGGCACCCATTTTGGAATTGTATGTTTTGACAGATGACCATTTAAATATGAATATTTATGAAAAATATACCTGTATATTTGAAAATTCAAAAGGAAATGGATTTTTATTTCTGAAGTTAACAGAACTGTGGATATATTAAAGATGAAATTGTACCCATAATGCATCTCTTAAGTGGCTCGTTTTTGTAGTTGATGACTCCCTTTTGACCCCAGTGTAGGCAGCCATCGTACAAGAAGTATAAGTGTGTTCTGTGCATTGTAAAAAATACATTTTATTTTTAAAATCCATGCTTCCTTCAGAGATGACAGAGCTTCTGCACTGGAGGGAGGAGTTACTCAGTGCACTGAACAGTAGCATCACAAACTGTGTATGTGTGTGTGTGCTTGTTTTTGCTCTCCAGTCAAAGCAGAGCAGAATGCCATTTCCTCTAAAGCCCTGGAAGATACCCCTGGAAGAGGGGGGGAGCTTGATGTGCTTCTCTTTTTAAGTCATAGAATCACAGAACAGCCCAGGTTAGGAGGGACCCTTGAAAGATCATCTATCCCAACCTTTTGTGGGACAGGGAGCCTAGATGAGATTATCTAGCACCTCTCCTATCACATCTCTGTGATCTTGAAAACATCCAGTGGTGGCAGCGATGACTCATTTCAGTCACTTTTCCATGCATCCCTTTCTGGGCCCTGGTCCCTTTCTCTGCACAGCTTCTCCCTGCTCAGCACTCATACCACTTCCTTCACCTGGGTAATCCAGGAGCTCCACTAAGTCCTGCCTTTTAATTCAGATCCCAGAAGGTGTTTCTGTTCTAACATGGATTATACTCAGTTTACTTTCTCCTGGTCTGTATTAGTCATCTTGATCTTTATGACTCAAGTTCACAAGTATTGGAAAAAGTGTCAGCAGTTAAATTCTGCATTTAATTTTCAGGTATGTTTCTTTTTCAGTTGCTGTTGTGGCAGACAAGACAGGAGAGCACAGTTCTCGGTTTAGCTTAATACATTACAGCTTCCCTTCAGTCAGTTGAGCCAGCCTCTTTGTGGTTGGTGCTTCCAGCCCACATTAACAGCAATGAGCCAAATAAAGCCCTTCAGCCCCTCAAGCAATGATGAGGTCAACTGCCATGATTAGAAAGTGCTAAAAAATCAGTTTCTTTGTGACCTTTCCAAGGAGACAGTTCTCATAAGGTTTTTAAGAATGGGTAATAAAACTTTGCTGCTTGTTTTTCTATCTCCAGCTGAAAAACAACTCTATTTCAGGGTTCCTGTCATCCAGATTAAATAAAAGACCCCATTCATCTGTAGGGTGGTTCATTGTTAAACATAATTTTAACACAGAAAAACAAAGTCTCTTGGCCTTGCTGCTACCATTGTTGTTACGGCACTGGCAGTTACCAAAGGGATTACTCTGTGTAACTCACAAATGTCTCTTCTGGCCAGCATGTGCTCCCACAGAAAGTTTCCAGAACAAAGGCTGCATGTTTCTTAGCTGTGGTCTGTATATGGAACATTATGTAAACTTTTAAAATCGCATGTACGACATTTGCAAATTAATTACTTGGAAATTAAGAAGCACTTCACAAAAGTACACTATCCAGAATACTTAATAAGCAGTATGTGCATCACTACAACTTAGTAAATCAGAAATCTTAACTCCTAGGGGGATGGAGCTGCAGCCAAGAGATTTGTTTAGGGGGAAGAATTCATTTTACGATTACACTGCAGAATATGAAGCTGGTGGCTTGTAGTTTGACTTTCTCTGCATGTCTGCAGCACAGACCCCCTGCACCTCTAGCACCTGGGCTGGTCAGTGCCTCTGCCTTAACAGCAGGTACACCCTGCCCTTTCTACAGCACAGGGCTGCAGAACCTCCTACTGCATTGGTTCTTTTTAGAGACAGTGTCTAACTCCTGAGTCAAGAAAGCATATTTACCTAAGGAACTGTAACTCCTGGGAAAAACAAATCCACAATGTTGCCAGTACCTTAACCAAACGTAGTTAGATCTTTAAGAATATCAATTAGTGTCCAGCTTGTTTTCTGATAAGCACAAGTGCTAGACAGAGATGGGTTCTTGTAAAAAGGCTGCATGTTTTCCTTAATTTTTATGTATATATAACTTCAGACCCTGAGGTACTCAAAAGTGACTTAGTGTCCTCATTACTTAACTCCTAAAAAGAAATATAGAAAAGTAATTAAGAACAGCAGCCCTTATAGTTGTAAGAGATTGCCACACCTAACAAGGACGGACAGGCTGAGAACCTGCTTATGTGCTCCTCACTGTGGCAGCAGGACGCTTTGGATCACTAAGACAAACACTCTCCTGTCACTAGTGCTTTTTCTTGGAAGTACATCTGACTAGAGCAACAGACAGTTCCATGTACATAGCAAGGCTCTGCCACCAAAACAGTTCAAATATGTTTATTTGGGAAATGAAGTGTTACACTGGCTGTAAAACCACACTCCACCAGGACTGAACCTCTCACTGAATGACATCTAGCTAGGCTACGTGGTTTTACACAACTCTCAACCACAGAAACAGTTCCCAATAGTCCCCAGAGACAGGTCACTTAAAGATACAGCCCTTCCGGGGTTCCCTCCTGCTTCTTGTAGAGAACATTCTCTTTAGACTTTTTGAAGTCTTCATTTGTTACTTTCATGCGCCGCTCCCGCAAAGCCATCAGTCCAGCTTCTGTACAAATGGCCTGCAACAAAGAAGGCAGGAATAAGTTACTGGCTCTGTGCAGCCTCTCAAGCCACACCTCAGGAGATGGCAGCATTTTCAAGCTGCTCCAAAGGACTCTGTAGTGGGAGTGAAGCGTGTTAACAAAAATTACATTCTTAAGCTCAGCAGCACTGAATCATTTAAAAGAATCTGGATGAGGCCAGGTGAGCATGTCCCTCTGCAGTCAGATTAATGCTTCCATGACAGAAAGGCAGCTTACTAAGAAAGTATTTCCCCCCTGCAAGGAACAGCCACATCCAGGCCTGTAACAGTGGCTTGTGCTGCCCTGCTGCAGTGCTGTGTGGTTAAGCTCATTAGAGTGGTAACTCCAGGAAGGGCTCTACTTTAGAAAAGCATACTATGTATGTCTGAAGCTTCCTAATCTATAGTTCCATTTTTATTTGCTTGCAAGTCTCTAAAAATGCTTCTTACCTTGCACTATCTTAAGTAATATTTAATGTATCTTGCATGTTTCTGAAGGATTCCACATTCCACTTCAAATTTCCACTTTACTACTTTTAAAATTTCTTACTCACTTAACAGGTACATAACAACACAAGCTACCTGATAGTTACAGTTTTGTGAAGTTTCCCATTTGTAAAGCTGAGTATGTGGCACTCGTAAAAGGTATTTTAAAGCCACCCAACTGTCCCTCAGTAACGTAACCACAGGAAGCAAGAGAAGTTTCAGTAGTGTTTTTGGAAACAGTAAAATGCGATTTATGTTTTGAAATACGAACAATGGTGATGTACAGACCTTAATATCTGCACCACTGAGATCATCTTTTGCCATAATCAGCTCATCCAAAGTCACATCATCTGCCAGTGTCATCCTGCTTGTGTGAATCTGAAAGATTCGTTTCTTGGTCTTTTCATCAGGTAGAGGGAACTCTATTTTCCGATCAATACGTCCTGTGCAAAAGAAGAATTCAGACATGTTTTCTGGATATAGCTTTGGGAACAGAGCAGGAAGAACATTTCAAGGTTAGACTGACAGTAACGGTTTCTTCACACCGCAATCGATCATGTCTTAGAGTGGAAAGTGAGATCAGAGTATTCTGTTTGTAAGGAACAGGCAGCTGCTGGAGCTGACAGACACCACACTGCTGTGGCACTGCAGGTGAGAGACACCTCAACTGGGATGCATGAAAAACCATAGCTTCCTTCAATCACATGTAAACACAAAAAAACCAATGTCATACCACAGGAAAGTATTGATCAAATCCTTATGCTCTTGTCATAAATTGTATCCTGCTCTGGTATTACTTGTAGCTCTGAAGTTTTATTTTCTGCCACACAGACACACAAAACAAATGGCAACCTGAAGAACTATTCCTGGATAACCAACTTCCTTTGCTCAGTACAGTTCAACCTAACTAAAGAAGGAAGGTTTTGCACAAGATATTCTGCTCCAAGTCCCTACCCGTTGTTCCCTTTATGTCAGTAAGAACCTGGGATGTGCTGGCACGCATTGTTCCAACTTCAGTCAGCAATCTTTTAAAAGATATTTTCTATCTCTGGCTCACTCATGTTTTTCTCCAGTGTTACAGTACCTTTTCTAAAGAGGGGTGATGGCACCACAAGCTATTCCAGACTAAGAATGGTAAATCACTCTGCTGAGCTGCCAGAAGTGCCCTTGTTGCTCAAGCAACAGTTATAATCTTCGCAACAGGCAGGTGCAGGAAGTTTCCTTACAATAAATTTTAGATAGTGTTAGGTTGTCTTTTGGTATTAGTATTTTCTCCTCTGTGCTCCAACAGAACTGGCTTTGATTTGGAGGGGCAAGGCTAAGATGATGACAAAACCAGACCCTTAACACACCTCAGCAACTTCATACCATGGAGGTGTTTTCTAAACTGCTGAAGTCCATACAGTCTAGAGACAGTTCAGAGCTGTTCTTTGACAAATTCATCTCAAGATCCCATTGCTCTCTGTCCTACCCTGTTACTTTAGAGGGAGTATCTCTACAATCTCTTCAGTAGTTAATGTTTACTTAAGAACACTAATAGGGGGGCTTATCTTTTTCTTTGATCTCCATGTTACCTTAGAGTAGCTGTGCCATCTTAACTCAAAGGAAGAACACTCAAATTGTTTATACATATATAAGAGGAATTACTGCATTTCTTCTCTTCCATAGGCTTTTTCCCCCCCATTTGGAAACTTGTGAATTGGTTCTGATTTTAACAGATACAACATAGATGGGATGGTGAATAAAGACAAACTAGTAACTCACATTCTTTTTACCAGCCCATGTTTGATCAGTTATGACAAGTTCTTTCACAAGAAAAGTGGCTTTAGCACAGACGGTGGACAGTGTCTTACCTGGCCTAATCAAAGCTGGGTCCAGTGTTTCTATTCTGTTTGTAGCCATGATAACTTTAACATCCCCCCGAGAGTCAAACCCATCCAGCTGGTTCAGCAGCTCCAGCATTGTACGCTGGATCTCTCTCTCACCACCTGAATTTGAGTCATACCTTTAAGAAAACAATAGCCAGAAAACAGCACCAGGCCAATTTTAGAACATCACTTTACTGCCACAAACATATAAACAAACATATAAATAAACATACAAATTGGTGGCTTTTTGTTTTAGACACCCATAGCAGTCATGGGTTTTTTTAAATTCAGTGTTCACCCACAGAAAACAAAAAGCAGGTTTTCAGAATCATATAAAGAGACACTGAACTATTCTTGCAGCTGGGAAAAGTAATAGCAAAAACGTGAGGAAATCTGTCCTTTTGCCGTTTGTTACGTATCTGGAATTTTTGCACCCCTCCCCATAACAAAATTAACAAATTAACACAAAAAAAACCCCAGACACCTTATTCTTAGAAGAACATGCATCCACTTCATAGAAAACGGAGCTTGTCTATCAGTTTTCCACTTGAGGGTTTCCCCTCATGCACACAGTTAGAGCTGCACCCCCTTTAGCTTTACGAGCATGAATCCTGCTTTAACTCTGCCCTGGAACACAGGCACCAGTGGCAGGATGTCTGTGCTTTGTAGTTAAGCTATTTAATTTTGCAAACATGAGACTAAATAATCTGCTTCTCATCCATGTTCCACAGCAGCTTAGAGAAACATAACATTTGTGAAGAACTGTGTGTGTAAAGCACTTCACCATCGGTCCCATCCTTTCTACATATGTAGAAATACACAGAGCTGAAGCTGCCTTATCCTGTGTCCTGGTTTGAGCCAGGATGAAGCCAATCTTTTTACTGATTTTTTTTCCTTCAGTAAGCTTTCTTTTAACTAGCAACTGTGTGTTCTGCTAGGCTGATAAGACAGTGGAATGTTTTTCTAACTACTGAGGCTTCAAGGTCGCACCTTCACTCTGCTGGCTCAGACACTATGGGGAGATCTGTGACCCCCCCGCAGGAGGCTGAGTTAGACAGACAGCAAAACTGGCCAGAAATATTCCATTCCATATATCTAGGTAAGCTCAAGGGAAGGTCAGAGATCACAGAAGACAACTTCCTTCCTGTTTCTTCTTCCCTTCTCATGGCCGGCGTCCGGGGAGGACTCCGTTCATCCATCACCATCGACCCTTAGGCTCGAGATCTCGTGACCCCCATAACTCTCTGCTTTCTCCAGCAGCAGCTCCGGGATTCCTCGGGACTCTTCCCAGTTCAGGGAAGTGCTATGGGAGTTGCTGGGGGTGGGGGGAGGCGAGAGGCTTTTGCCCATACCTGAATATATCTGTATATAATTGTATATATTTTCTTGTATCATTCATTAGTGTTTTAATTAAAGCTGTGTAGTTTAGTTTTCAATCCAGCCAAGTCTCTCTTTTTCTCTCTCTGCTTCCCTACCTGGGGGGGAGGGCATCGAGAGCATTGTTGTCGGACCTAAGTCAAACGGTGACATCCTGGAGCTGAAGCTGCCTTATCCTGGAGCTGCAGGCTTGTAGCTGTGTAGTAATTATATGTAAGCACCTTTTGCTAATTTAAAAAAACTTAACTATTTTAAAGACTATTTGTACGGGGCAGTTCCAACTAGCCTAAGGAATTTTCAAAGTAATACAACTTGGATAGAGGCTGAGTATAGCTGAGTGTGACACAAGCAGTGCTTCTCATGACATCACACTAACTTACCATGTAATATCCTAAAGGGGTAAGCATTTACCCACCTATCCAAAGAGGCAAACAATACATGGATGTATTCTGTATTAAGTACACTTCGCTGTTGAATCACTGAAGCCAATTGCTGTATACTTGGATTTGCACTTCCAGAACCCTGTATGACCTCATACATGGTGCCTCTGTCAGTTTAGGACATTCTATCACAGAGATGCTACCATTTAGCAGGAAGACAGAGGTCCAGTCTCTGGTCATATCTATTTAATATGAAAAGGTTGTGATCCACGTTAGTTTCAAAGAAATTATTTCAAGATTTACTTGTCAAAATTCCTTCCATCAAAATACTATGAGCATGGTAGCAGAGCTAAGAAACTGAGTATCAGTAAGGTTGCAAAAGAATCGTGTCCTGCAAGGGCAGGTACCTCTTTGTACCGATGGCATCGATCTCATCGATGAAGACGATGGAGGGCGCGTGCTCCTCGGCCACGCGGAACAGCTCGCGCACCAGCTTGGGGCCGTCGCCCAGGTACTTCTGAATCAGCTCCGAGCCGACCACCCGCAGGAAGGTCGCTGAAGTCTGGTTCGCCACGGCTTTGGCTAGCAAAGTTTTACCTGTTTTGAGTTGGAAAGAAATCTTGTCATTAGTTTGCGGGGGGGG